TTTAGGTAAAACAGTTAACCACTGCTCAAAACCTCTATACCAAATGGCCTAAAATAATAATAATAATAATGAAGAAAGTAAAAGTTTACCTCCACTACGACTCGTTCAGCTTCGAGCAAGCAGTCCAATTTCACATGCGAAACAGACCTCGTAACCGGCTGCAATCAATTAAAATTTAAAACAAAAATAGGGGGGAAAAGGAAAATTTCAGGAACGATTGCTTAATTTAATTGATTAAACATGCAGTAATTTAGATGCAATTGCCGAAGGAACCCTAGAATGAGGACCTCGCTTTTGGTCCATTCGAGAGCCTCCCAACTACCAGCACCCTCAATTCTTTCGAAGTCAAAGTCCCTGAAAGAGGTCGTCCGACGCGGCCTCGGTGCTGCCATAGCCCTAATTGAAGTTCTCCAATTCGTTCCGGTGTTTGTTTGGATTTTCCGGGGGAGAAATCCGTTGAAATTTGGGTGTTAGAAACGAGGAGAAAGAACGACGGTTGCTGCCGTTGAAGGAGGGATTAGCACGCCTTTCGCCACGATTAGTAAATATACATATTTAAAACGTAAGCAATTTTTTATGACAGTAAATTAATTAAATTACAGTAGTAATATTTTCTTCCCTTTTTTGTATGTCAAAATTAGGCAAAAAATATACTTTTCATTATTTTTAGGAGTAAATAGTATTTATAACTGTCTACTGTAATTGGATTTTCTAACTTTAAAAGTACATTAAATGTATTTTTTTATATTTTATGTAATTTATATAAAAATATAAAATTTAATTATAATTTAATTAATTGATTAAAATCGTGTAGGCAACCATAGGGATAACCTTGTAGCTTTTACAATAAAGCATTGGCATATTAACCTCCCAATTTGATAAATTTAATCGTTTTTAAAACTATTTAAAATCATTTTCTATTAATTTTATGATTTTTCACTCCAACAAAAACTGTTACAGCCCTCATTAAATCAATATGGGGTTAAAGAAAAAAGGAATTTTCTAACTTGTGTTTTAAACCTCATTTATTATATTATTTGTAATTAATTTTACATAAATTTTTATACATTATTTAAATAAAATACAATATAATATGTAAAAATATAATATAATGTAATATTTTACCTTAAAATTTATATTTAAAATATTATAAATTTGATATAAAAATTTATGTAAAATTAATAACAGATATCTTAATTAATAAAAAAATATATTAATTAATAAGTCTTAATATGTATCCTAAAAATCTAAAGACACATGTTAGACAAATCTAATAAAAAAATTATGTGTTGAAGAAACTTTGGAACACATCAAATAAAGCAGTGAAAAAGAGGAGTAAGAACCGGTCAAAATAACAGAAAATGGATGCAAAATAATGTAAAATATTTTATTGATTAATAATAATTATTGGTATCCGTCCGTGGCAATAGACCACTTCAAAATCTGGAAAAATGGTAACCAAAACATTATGGAAACTTTTACATCAGTTCTTGGTTCACTCTGAACAACACCAATGAATTCATTCACAAAACTTCAGTTCACTGCAAAGTTGCTGCAGCAATGGAAATCCTTCGAAAAAGTAAAAATTAGCATAGTTTTGAAATATTCCCGACTCACGTTTACAGAGGCATCCTCTATTCTGGTACAGGTGAGGACTAACTTTCAGAAATTCTCCAGGTAATTATAGGATGAGTCTCCGGATGTCACTGAAGTTAGAACGTAATGCTGAGAGAAATGCACCTGCAACATAATATGGCCTTAAACCTCAAGCAAAGGTCCTACTGATGAAGACCAGCAAGTACCCACCAGCTAGAAAGAACCTCCCGAATGGAATATGAAATAGACAAGATTAAAACCAATGCATACCTCCAACTTTGCCATCAAAGACACGATGATCAGCTGATAATGTTAAGTTCATTTTGGTGACAACAGCAGGCCTCTCAATTCCTGCATTAAATGTCAACACATGAGTGAAGCCCTTGTAACTTAATGGCATCAAGTATCTTAAGGCAACGTATAGGATAATCTGAAGTGGAGATTTACCATCTGCACCAATAACTGGTTCAACAACTTTGTTTCCTCTACCAACAGCGAGGATGCCAGCCTGCAAGATGCATAGAACAGAATTTCACTAAACAGCAATGATAAGGCTAACATTTTTATTATTTTCTAATAACATGTTAGTAACAAAAAGCTGGACAGTTCCAACAACTGCCCTGTGGAACAATTCCTGACTACTGACAGAGAAAAGTGACTACAAAAAGCATTAGGGACTTGCTCTCCCTGGTTTCTAAATGAAGAAAATAAGTCCAAAACCAAGCGTTCATAAAAACAATTACTTGTTCTATTAAAAAAGGTTCAAAGCTAGTTTTAAGAACAAACCCAGAGGTTCATCCAGGAGTTGCATATGGATGGAGCTAATGCATCTTACTGGTGCTGAGGCACAGGAAGATTAAAAAGGCTTTTTCATTTTTGGTGGATGTAACAATGATGGAATTTGAGAGAGAGAATACCTGAGGGGGATTTATAATCGCACAAAAATGGTCAACTGGAAACATCCCCAGATTCGAAATGCTACAGAAAATTACAAACAGTTTGTTAATACTTTTTTAAACATTTGCTAATAGCAGTGCACGAGTACTGAAGGCAAATTTAGACAGAAAACAAAAGGAAGAAAACCTGAAAGTTCCTCCTTGAAATTCATGAGGAGCAAGCTTTCCTGTCCTTGCCTTTTCAGCTAGTTGCTTGACCTGACAACCAAGTTAAGGAAAGATGACAACCAAGATTAAATTGCTCCCCAACTTTAAATGATTGTTTACTAATTATTAATTGAAAAGAAGCTGAATAAAAAGAAGATAGTAAACTCAGATTCCCAATAGATGAATGATCATTTGAATGCAGTGCAGATTTCAAAAACCTAGGTTAATGAAAGGCAGAACAATAGTTTCAAAAAAAATGCATGCTTTAAAAGATGCATTGGCAATATATGTGTTGCCTTTTTTCCAAGATTAAAAGAAGGAAACAAGTGATTATCCTAGCACAACAAAACAAGAGAAATTGCATCAAAGACTATACATAATACATGAGTACCAGACCAAAATGTAGGTCATTAAATAAAGAAATATGTACCTCTGAGGAAATTGAAGAAATAGATTTCTGATCTGCATTCCTAATGATTGGAGTCATTAAACCCTGTATGCAAATACAATGATATGAAACTGTTTTTGCCTAGACCTTAAAAACGCCAGATAATCAGAAGCATACCTTTTCAGTAGCAACTGCAATTGATATGTCAACAGAGTCGCACAAAATAATCTCTCCTTTGGTTGCATCCCAGTAAGCTGAAGTAGATTGCCACAGAAAACATTTGATATTAAAAAATACATAAAAAATGATGATTTAATCATTTCCCACTCAGCCACTCTAAAAAAGTTCAAATGCCTGAATAGCCTTATGTAGTTTGCTTCTAACTGGTGTCTAGTCACTAATCACCCTGGATCAGTTTATGAATGCCTTACCATTGGCTTCTGGTTCATTCTTCAGAGCAATTGCCACAGCTTTGATGACTATGTCATTAACCGAAACTTTAATATTGTGCTTCTCTGTAGATTAAGAATGCAAACAAGATGAGCTGTCAGCAAACCAAACACAACTACACAAATTCATTGAAATAAGCATCATCATTCATACCTTTAAGCTCGTTCCTAAAAGAAAGAAGAGGATCCAGTATAACATCTGACAAACAACATCAAGCCTTTAGATCAAAGATTAAATGATACTAAGCAACTAAGACATGAAGATTAATTTTTTGAGTTTCTACCTGAAGATAAATATAAATGTGGTGTACCCTGTTTTGATTCCAATAACCTTCTTGCAATAACCTGCAGAACCATGATAAATTATGTGAATAGCAAAAGAAAAAGTTCATACTTCCAAAGGTTTGTTAGCCAAATCATGTCACAGAATATAAAAAGGACATAATAACATTAGCACATATTCAAATATACAAAATTATTAAATCATTTCCAGATCCAGTAAAACCAATTGTATGAACAAACCTTGCGAATTTGAGTATTGGGCAAATCTTCGAAAGAATCTAACTGCAGTAAGGAACTCTTTGACTCCAGCAATGCTGGGGCAGATTTCTTTGGTTGGGTTTGTGGTGATGATGTTCCCTTATCATGGGATGAAGAAATTTTAGAAGATGCTTTTCCTGACTTAACTGCAGCCAAGACATCACCTTTCAACAAAGTACCATGAAGCCCTGATGCCTTTATTGATGATGCATCTAATCCATATTCTGCAATGAGCAACTTGGCTGATGGACTGATCCTCTTAAAACCAGATTTCTGCTCTCCAACTTCATTTTTAGAGTCATGATGGGTTACTTCTTCCTTTTTAACCTCTGAACTGCTACCAACAGAAGTCTTCACAGTTTCAATAGTTTCTGGATCTTCAACCTTGCAAAACAACAAGAATTGGTGTTCCCATATGACTAAAGTAATTACCAGATCAGTACTTCACAGAACTCGCAGAGTACTAGATCTCAGTGGAGCATGAATAGGTAAATTGAGCAACATAAGACAAAATAGAAAATATACAAACCCAGCAACTTACTGTTATAGCAATAGGTTGTCCCACAGGCACATCTTTTGAACCTTCAGGTGCCACTATTTTAGCCAGGTACCTGCACCCAACATATTCCACTTAAGACTATAAGCAAATGTTACGGGCCAACAAGCAGTGGCCAGGCATGCAAGAGAACAACCTAACACAATAAAAGAAGGGCAACGTGGGGTAGTAAATTCAGTCAATGTGGTCGTCAACCATGTTTTTTCTTGAAAAGGGAAATAAGCAGGATGTGCTTCCAACTCCCCTGTAAGACTTACAACAGATAATGGAAAACAAAAGTCCACAGAAGGAAGGAATGTTTACCCCTCTTCAAGACTCTCAAATTCAAGGGTAGCTTTGTCAGTCTCTATCTCACATATCACGTCACCCACTTCTATCTGTGCAAGAGAATAAGCATACAGATGAACAACAAAATATTACCTTGATCAGATAGAAGAGAAAGCATTTTAGTTCAACAAAACTACCTTATCTCCTTCTTTTTTCCTCCACTTGGAGATGTTTCCCTGGTTCTGCAAAAAGAAAATGAAAAACAAGTTTACATTTTCACAGCAAAAAGAGGAATTTAATTAATAAAATTGGCAAAATAAGTTCAAATCTTAACCCATTTTCATTACCATTGTTGGAGAGAGTGCTGGCATTTCAACTACAACATGAGGAAGATCCGAGGAATTGATCTTAATAGAACTTTTTCCCTCCACTTTCTCCAGTCTTCCAACATCTTGATGAGATGTTTTCTGCCCCTCACCTTCTGACCCACTGCCAAGACTAGAAGGGATTTTCTGGATATTTTCTGCATCCTCAACCTGGTGCACCCATTCAAATGAGTGTTAATTCTTCAATGATTGATAATTAAAAAAATCATTTAGAGAACACTGAAAATGACTTCATATCAGAAGTTACTTGGATTGGCTGGGAAGTAAAAACTACTGATGGAAATAAAAAGCTATACTCTAATAGAAATGACTAGGTATGAAAAATGTGTAATTTCCTGAAGGCACAATCAATATATAGCATTAAATAAGTGTATAACAGGACTCCTGGAATCTCAAAAAACACCAATTTTCCTATTCTGAAAGTGGAATAGTCTAATTTGATAAACTTGTGCAGTGGAAATAAAAGACAGAGAAAGCAACACATATTCTGATGACTGTAATAGTTTACCGTTATTGCAATGGGTTGTCCTACAGGCACATCCTTTGAACCTTCAGGTACTAATATCTTGGCCAAAAACCTGCAGATAAGCCCTCAACCATAAACAAGGCAAAATAATCTAAAGAGGAACATAAAATTAATTAACTCAGGGACACTCCATAATCAAAATTAACGAAATGAAACAATTCAAACAATATTGAATATGGGACTCAAATTGATCTTGTTGTACAAAGGAAAACAAAAAAAAAGGTAATACAGAAAAGGCATTACCCCTCCTCAAGACTTTCAAATTCAAGGGTAGCTTTATCTGTCTCTAATTCACATAATACATCCCCCACTTCTATCTGTTAAATGAAACTCAATAACCAAGAATCAGAACACAGTGATGAAAATAATTATTCAACAACTATCTCTCAGCCATATCACATTTGACAAAAAATTATCCCAACCATTCTAGTATCTATTCAGCTTTTATAAATAACTCACTTTATCCCCCTCTTTCTTCCTCCATTTTGCAATGTTGCCTTGACTCTGAAAAAAGGCAAGAAGCATAAGGATTTGAGAGCTGGAATAATTGGAAAAAATCATCAAAAGCAACTTTTGAGAAATTTCTTATCTTCACTCCAAAACACCTTACCATAGTAGGAGATAAAGCAGGCATCCCCAGGACTGTATGCTCAGGGAGCTCTGAAATTGAAAAAAAGGGGGAGAAAAAGTAAAATATCTTCTAATCATCAAACCGATCTGATTCAAAGCAGCTAATAGATTTGTAGACCACAGCTAAGCAACACTATCATTAGACTAATCAATAAATTTGAAAGACATATTTCAACAAGCAAATTGTAATGCGTATTACTTTTTTTTGTGCTACATGTGTTTCATACCAACATTCTCTTATCCAACAGTTTTTGAAAGAAAAAAAAAAAAAGATCTGGCTTTGTTAAGTTCTGCTGGCCCCAACCAGCTACTTAAAAGAGTGGAATAAAAAGTGTCCATGCTCATGCAAAATAGGACTTTAAAATCCTAGATAAGAATTCACAAAAAGGCAAGCTTCCAAACTACACAGAGGTCTCTGTAATACCTGCAGATGAGAAATACCGAGCACCAATTTGCAACTGCAAAAAGACTGAACATCAGAAAACAGTTTTACTCTATATTTATGCAACCATTTCAAGTAAATTTAACCTATTCAAATCCTAACCTTGAGCTTAATTGAGCCATTGTTAAGCCCATATCCTCTGGGTAAAAAAGCTGGCCTGGAATAAGGGAAAAATCTAAATTAGGTGAGATGAAGAAAGTACAAGTTCAAAAGTGAGTGACACAAGTATTCAATTTTAAAGAGTCTGCATTCTTTCCATTGGATTTGAGAAAAGCATGAAAGCAAAGATAGACACAAAAGATGCAATCCAAACTTCATTCAAAATGTCACCACCTGATAGTTTACAGTTCTATATCTATTTAGAAGTAACTACAAAGGCTATAATATATGTGCAATGAGTAGCTGATAAACACATAAATATTGATACAAATAAACAATGCAACACATATAAGAACCAAAAGAAGTGATCATAATGTATACATATGAGAAATGGGAAGTTAGTAGAAGCAGACCTTAAGAACGTTCCATTGCCATCCTTGAAAGAGTTTTGTACATTTGAACTGTTGCATCAATAAATCAACAATAAGCAACAAGGTAGTGGGATGTTATAAGCAGCTTGAATCTCAAAAATCAGCATAAATCAGTTCAGAAAATATCATGAGTTATGAGCCCACGTCATTCTTTAGAAAAATCTACTTGAAATGTTCGGCACCATATTATTAGAGAAAGGCATGAAAGCATTAAGTTGCTACCATGTTAGTCAAATTTTGATACAAAATTTTGTACCAACCTATTAACAGGATATAGAATTCCAACGGACACTTCCAGAATAACCAAAAAGGGATGGAATTTTGTAGCCAGGCATAATCAGAAAAAGATGGAAAACCCGTTATAATTCTAGCACAACTAGCAGGATAAATAATAATAATAATAATAATAATAATAATAATAACTTTTACCATTACAATATGATCATCATTAGAATTTAGTACTTAAACTTCTGCATTTTCCCCAGCAATCTCTACTTCTCCAATAAAATTCCGATCAGATGCTTTTGAAGAAAACTCAAGATAGCAATCCACTACCAACCCAGAACCCAGAATTCTCAAATTGAAAACAATCACACATAAATGCTCTACATGGGCACCATGACTCTTGCCCAAGTTGGTTGATACTTGATGCAGCTTTCCCAAGGTCCATCAACTGGGTTCGACCTCCCCTTCCCCAAAAGTGATAAAGAGATGATCTTTACCAAAGGTATTCGCATACAGTACTTACCACTACAAAAATGACT